GAGAGAGAGAGAGAGAGAGAGAGAGAGAGAGAGAGAGAGAGAGAGAGAGCGAGAGAGAGAGAGAGAGAGTTCACGTTTCCCTGACGACCTGCGCAACCACGATTTGACATCTTGTGTAGAGAGTTGTTAAGCGATCGTTGATGTGGAGTCCTTTCCTGCAATGCCGACATTCGTTGTTCCCTCCATGCTGCCCCACATTCGTGACAACCTGTAACATTATCTCTTTCATGTATGATATGAGATGGAACATACAGTCCACAACCAGCCTCGCCATTTGTCATGAATTCGTTATTGCAACGAACTGTTCAAATGTGTCTGTCGTCATAGGTACTGCAACAGATTCATCATCAACCCGTGACGCTTTGCTAGTGACGACGCATGAAAAATTGTGTCGAACGTTGTGACAATTCAGTGACTTAACATCGGTATAAGCCAGCAGCACATGTGCTGCAGACGCGCAGTCTCTAACAGTGGTTGCGCTGCCAGTGACGGTGTGCTTTGTTGTGTCATGTTCTCCATCTGCCTTCATCCGTTCACCTTGTGCACTGTCTATGACAACTCTATGCTGACAATTTACCGTCAATTCTCCTGACACCAACCTACCTCGTGTGTATTGTAGGGTATCCATGACATTCGTGCAACTGTTCAGCAGAGTCCTTATATTCCACAGAAAATCATCGTGTCTAGTCGCGACACCCTCATCATAGAGACCGTAAGTTGAGTATCGGTCTATGCTTTCCTTTGTGGCGAATACAGTCTTCTGCAAAAGTCAAGAAGTCGACAACGCTGTGTGACGAGGCAGTCAGCGAACCTGTATTATATTCCTGACTAGCATAAGATGCCCACCCCTCCTTGAGCACACACTTGTCAGTGTTGGCACAACACGTGACAACCCATTCATGTGATTCTCTGACAATTCTGTTTCTGATGTGAGCAGCGAACCAATTCAACACCGCGGTGCGCCTGTGCCTTTCACCTTCCAACCACGTCTGGTACTTGTCAAACGTGTTGTCTTCGTTTCAGCTATTGCATTTCATCTGGCGGTCATATCCTCCCTCAGACGAGCGATGTCTAAACACTTTTGATCGGACGGTAACAACCAGAATATGGTAAACATCTTGTGTTCTGCAGTTTCTGTCATTTCGGCGAGCAATGATTTGAGGAGGCCTATCTCGTCTGACGTTTGTCTAACCAAATGTTTCTGCTTATGTACCTCGCATGTGAGAGTGTCTATATGTTTTTGCTGCTCCTTTGCTATCTGACCCCAGTTCCCTTCCATTAAAGCCAACTTCAATTTTTTGCATCCAAACGAAAAAAATTGATCCTACACTGCATCACACTCTTCGCCCGACTTTCTTTTGTGCCCGGTTTTGACCATTCATCACATCTGGAAATATATGTAAATGCAGATAGATAGATAGATAGATAGATAGATTGATAGATAGATAGATAGATAGATTGATAGATAGATAGACGGAGATAACAAGAAACAAAAAAAGGAAGAGAGAGAGAGAGAGAGAGAGAGAGAGAGAGAGAGAGAGAGAGAGA